CTGAGAGGTTGTCGCGGCTCTCCGCCATGTCCTTGGGGAGCGCGCTGGGCATGAAGAAAACGTCCTCCGAGGCGGAACCAGAGGATAATGGGGGAGGAGGGCGACGGGAAAAGGGCGCGGAGGATGAGAAACGCGAAAAGGAAGAGGGAGGAGGAACGATGGGACGAGGAAAGGAGGAGTCCGCCGACCCCCGCGTGCCGAGGGTGCAGAGGCGTGTGAGATGGTTGGCTGTCTCACGCTGTCCCCCTCCCCCTTTCCCACCAGCACCACCACCACCACCGCCACCACCACCACCACCACCACCACCACCACCACGCACACACGCACGCACGCATGCACGCGCACCACCACCCACTAGTCCGCGGATAGAGAAAATCAGCGCCATGGTAAGGGATGGGAGGGAGGGGTAGGACGTCAGATATGACGCGCGTGCACCTAGCTTGCCCTTTCCCCCTCCCCTGGGGTCTGAAATCCAATTCGGGGGGGGGCAGGGGGCAGGGGGGAGCCAAGGAGGGCCCCGCATGGAGGGGGCCTGGGGGGGACCTGGGGGAAGGTAATCAGGGGGACGAGCTCGTCAACGCACCCTGGGGGCCTCCAGATGATCCAAATCTACACTCCGTGGCCTCCAGGACGCCCAAGATGTATCCCACCAGCCCTCTGGGCGTAGGTGGTCTAGGGCGATTCCTCTTCCAAGCCCCTTCTTCCCCTTCGGGGAGGGGTTCACCCCTCCCCCTGACCCGCTCGCCTGGACTGGACACGGCTCCAGGAGGCCACGAAGCCTTCCCAGGAGGCCGCCAAGAGGAAACCCCCTCCAAAACCTAGGGAAACTCGATATCATGTGATTTTTCGCCTTTTCGCTTCCGATGGCCTTCCGAGCTCCAGATGGCTCCAAGACAACCCGAGTGGGCTCGTAGGGGGCACAAGAGGCCTCCAAGACGGCCCCAGGAGCGCTCCAAAGGCGCCCAAAGAGGCGATTCGAGGCACTCTAGACGGGCAAGGCGAATTGAAGCTCCCCTCTTTTTTGATCGATGTCTTCCAAGATGGCTCCCAGAGCACCCCTGAAGCTCCCAAGAGCGCCCCAAGAGGGCCCCAGGAGACGCCCAGACAGCCCCAAGAGGCGCCCACAGGGGACTCCAAGAGGCTCCCAAGATACACCCAATAGGCTTCAAGGGGATCCCCGAGGCACCAAAGACGCTCAAAGACCCCCTCCTCCTAGTTCCCAACCATCATGTGGTGTTGGGTCCTCGTTTTGAGGAGACGGTCCCCGCGTTCTCCTCTCCTCCTCTTCCCCCTCCTCCCTACCGTCCGCATGCGTCCCGCACACCCAGTACAGCGCTTCGTGGCCGCATAGGGAGCCCCACCGAGGGTCCCGGTTCTACCGTCCGCATGCGCCCCGCACACCCGGTACAACGCTTCGTGGCCCCACAGGGAGCTCCACCGAAGGTCCCAATGCTACCGTCCGCATGCGTCCCGCACACCCAGTACAGCGTTTCGTGGCCCTCCTCCCCCTCCTCCCTGCGTTCCACCCACCCAATACAGCGTTCCGTGGCCCCATAGGGAGCCCCACCGAAAACGTCCCAGTGCTACCGTCCGCATGCGTCCCGCATACCCAGTGCAGCGCGTCGTGGCCCCATACGGAGCCCCACCGAAAACGTCCCAGTGCTACCGTCCACGTGCGTCCCGCACACCCAGTACAGCGCTTCGTGGCCCCATGAAGAGCCGCACCGAAGGTCCCAAAACTACCGTCCGCAGGCGTCCCGCACACCCACTACAGCGGTTCGTGGCCCTCCTCCCCCTCTTCCCTGCGTTTCACCCACCCATTACAGCGCTTCGTGGCCCCATAGGGAACCCCACCGAAAACGTCCCAGTGCTACCGTCCGCATGCGTCCCGCACACCCAGTACAGCGCTTCATGGCCCCATGAAGAGCCCCACCGAAGGTCCCAGCGCTACCGTCCGCATGCGTCCCGCACACCCAGTACAGCGTTTCGTGGCCCCATAGGGAGCTCCACCGAAGGCCCCAGTGCCCCCGTCCGCATGCGCCCCGGAAGCCCAATTTGGCATTTTCACCCACCCAGTGCAGCGCTTCGTGGCCCCATAATGGGGCTCCGCCCAAGGCCCCACCGCCACCGTCCGTATGCGTCCGGGAATTGTAATTTGGAATTCTCACCCGCGCGGTGCAACGCTTCGTGGCCCTATAAAGGGGCTCCACCGAAGCCCCCAGTGGGACCGTCCGCATGCGCCCCGGGAACCCAATTTGGCACTTCCACTCGCTCAATCTAGCGCTTCGTGGCCCCATGGGGAGCTCCACCGACGCCCTCAATGGGACCGTCCGCATGCGTCCCGGAAACCCAATTCGGCACACCACCCACACACTACAGCCTTCCCCCCCGCCCAGTGCAGCGCTTCGTGGCCCCATAGGGAGCTTCACCGAAGCAGATCTTCACAATTACGATACCCACAACTGCACATGGTTGGAACCTTCGCCAAGATATGTTTCTGTCCACGGTGTCTTCCTCTTTGCTCCTCCTCGCCCTCCTCCTCCTCCTCCGATCCCTCATCCTTCTTCCCCTTCTTGGGGTAAGACTGTTTGTCCATCCCTGTGTTCCTCCGTATGCTCCCCGACGCCCTTGATCATGGCAAATGTTCTAGGCATCGTCTCTGGATGGGCTGCCCGTCTCCTTCTCATCCTCCTTATCTGCATATTCATCATCCTCCCTCCCCCGCGCTAGCAGCGTCAAGGGTTGGGCGGGTTACGCGCGAATCTAATTGCCGAACGCGCCGACAAACCGGCGGCCTAAGCGGCACCTAAGCTGACCGGACTGCGCGAGGTGGTGCGGGCTGCAGCTGCCAGGAACCAGGTCCAGGAGCGAGCGCATGCATAATTAGCCAACCGAGGTTGAAGCGCAGCCAAAATGGCGCGGGAGCGATACCAGGATGTAGCCACTGTTGGGGATACTTTTATGGTCGCGGCCGCGGGCGAAAGCGCAAGCGGCGAGTCGTAAGTCCGGGGCGCGGGACTACTAATTGACAACAGGAGCAAACTAAAGCTGCGCACCTAAACTGCCTAAGCTGCCTAAGCGGCGCTTCGAGTGAGCTGCAAGCTGCGCTGAGTGAGGCCAGGGCCAGGGCAGAAAGCGCTCACAAAGCGTACAACTGTTGGGGATACGCGAAGCGTCAAGATTTGAAGCTGGCTCAAGCTGGACTCCAACACGCCAAGATGTCCTCAAAGACGACCACGGTGGCCTCAAGACGACCCTAGATGCCTCACCATCGCCCCAAGACGGTTCTAAGGCAACCTCCGACAGGGCCCCAAGAAGCAAGAATCGTCCAAATCCAGCGGGGAAACGTATATTTTAGCAGATTCGCATTTTCGGTCTCAGCAGCGTCGCTCCAAGACGTCCCAAGACGCCCCCAAGAGTACCTCAAGACGGCTGAAAGGGGGCCCCGAGACGCCCGAACAGGGCCCAGCTCGAACTGACATTCCGACCCCCCAGCTCGAAGACCTCCTCACGTCCGCACGCCCGACCAGGACCAGGGGTACAGAACAAATGGGTACGATGTCGAATATAACGTGTTATCCAAATCGACAGCGGCCGCTGCTGGGCCGGCGACCTTCTGTGTCAAACGGAATGGGCCCGCGGCGATGCCGACGGCGCGTCCTGTTGCAAAAAGGACAGGGTCTGCTGCCGGTCTTCGTCCCCACAGTCCCCGTAGCTTCTGCGATCGCACGGACGCTCCTCCTATAGAGGCAGGAAACAAACAGCATAGACATACAAGTTCGACAGATCGCGCGGATGTCTCGGATCTGCGCTGCATGCTCCTCCCTGGCGCGCGGAGCGCGCCACGGGCGGTTTAGGAGGCGCCGCCAGGGGGGGGCCCAGGCTTACCAGCCTCGAACGTATCCCTATCCCTAAGATTGACACGCCAAAAGGCGATGACAATCTTAGGGATTCGCCCTCAAAAAATAAGGGGATCACTAAGATTGGCATCGTGATGAGGAGGTGCCCAGCATAGGGACAGGGATATGTTCCAGGCTGGTAACAGGCGCCGATCCGCACATCTGCGCGGGCCGCCGAGAGGTTTCTGGTTGCGCATGCTTGTCTTCTTCGATCCCGGTGCAAGAGGATCCTTCGGTGGCGGCATCCGATCAAAGAGGAGAGGAAGGAGGGGGAGGAGGAGGAGGAGGAGGAGAAGGAGGAGGAGGAGGAGGAGGAGCAAGCGATTCTCCTGAATCGATGGGAGGCGGGATAGGGGTCAGATTTCGACACGTGCTCCGCAAATTCTGAACCCTACCCCCGCCGCCCATCGGGTCGCCTGAATCGTGGATCGGCAAGGGTGGAGTTTGGACTTCGAATCCGAGTCCTGCTCCCCCGGCACTTCGATAAAGCCGTAGCCCTTGGCTCGGTCGAGCTTCCGGATACGGCCGATGCACCGTCGGCCGTCTGGAGGCGGCAGAACGGGGGGGGGGGAAGAGGGGGGAGAGAAGGAGGAAGAGGTGGAGGTGGAAGAGGAGGAGGAGGAGGAGGAGCAGGAGGAGAAGGAGAAGGAAGACGAGAAGGGACGGGATGATGATGATGATGATGATGATGATGACGAGGTGGAGGAGGAGATGGAGTGTCGCAAGGACGGGGGGGGGGATGAGGCAAACAATAAATTTGGTGCGGCGGAGGATGATGATGATGAAGATGAAGTTTAAGATGAAGATGATTATGATGCTGATGATTATGATGATGAGTATGATGATGATGAGTATGATGACGATGATGGATAGGATAATGATGGTGGTGATGGTGGTGATGATGATGATCATGATGATGATTCTGAAGATTGATTTTAAGATGAAGATGATGATGTTGCGGCTGGTAATGATGATGCGGCTGATGCTGATGATGCTGATGGTGACGGTGATGATGATGATGATGATGATGATCGCACTCCCCTGAGCGCGCCAGAGAGGGGGGCAGTTCAGCTGCCCTCTGCCGCGGGCCTCCTGATGAGCAGGCTCCGCACGCCGCGCCCCTTCTTGGCAATGTGGCGGGCACGCGCGCGCAAGAGAGGCAGCAGGCATTCGGGCCCGTGCCTGTGCGAGCTCCTCAAGGAGTTAAAGGTAGAAAAAAGCAGGTCGTGGACAAGAAACAAAGAGAACAGCTGCTGACTAGACTGGCATGGCAAAGTGCACAGCATACGCGCATCGAGGCTCTGATTCAAATATTCGACTGGCAGGAAGGGCAAAACAGAATGGAGCAAGCTCAGGACATGAGGGCAATCGAAGTAATGCTGGACGTGGTCGCCGCCTGTGGCCAGGCAACCGAAACGGCAGGTAAGACGGCCTTGCCTATACCTGGCAGAGGTCGCCCACGCGTTGCAGATGGTTTTGAGAATGGCCGCAGCCACAAATGGGCCGACGCGCGTGCAGGCAATTTGGAGCCTGAGCACCGCAAGGTCGATACAAGAGGCATCAGCAAAAGGAAAAGCGAACCGAATTCGATTGCCCAGGAGAAAACTCGCGGAGCTACAAGGGGCCTCAGAAAGCAATTTCTTCAAAATCTGTCTCTGCAACTCGTGAGTGTCCTCGTCGAAGTGGTTCCACGGCAGGGCAGTTAGTCGCTCGCAATTGTGAATCAGGTGGAAAACAATGGACTCGGCACGCCATGCCGGGTATCGCTTGACCATCAGAACATCCAAGTCCTCTTCCTCAAGCTCATGAAAGCGCTTCCGAATGCTATCAAAAACCTTAGACCGAACAGCGACCCGATACATGGCAGCCTGATTCTCCAGCACTAGGTTGCGCGGGGCAATGGGCCAATGCAACGCAGACGAGAGATTGCGGAGAAGATCAATAGGGATGCTGTAGAAGGGGCATGCGGTGAGAGTCTGCAAACCTTTGGTTTCCATGCGAAGAGCGTCCTGCGATATGTAACATAGCTGCATCACGAAGGTGAGAACCGAGAAGGCCAAGGAGTTATATGCATAGATACTTTGAGTAAGCCCAAGACGAAGCGACCGAACATGACGGACACGAATAATATATTTCTGAAGCGGAGCGGACCAGGATTTCTTGTAACCTCCAGGGCCTAGAAAGACACCCAAGACTTTGCCACTAGTGCCGTGCATAAGCGAGCGAACGTTGGTGCGAACGGACTCGAACAGGGCGAAATGCTGGTCGTCTGGCATCTCTTGCACGTGCACGATCATACACTTGGCAAGGTTCAAGAGCAGGCCAGTGCAACGGCTGGACCTAATAACATTCTTCAGCACAATCGGAACAGCGAGCAACAGGTTGGATGCCGAGATCTGGATGTCATCTGCAAAGGCACGAGGGGTAGCACAAACAGGAGCTAGCAAGTTAGATAATCGGCGCAGCAGCGGGTCGATGCATAACGCAAATAAAGCACCCGACAGCGGACATCCTTGTTTAATGCCTTGGGTGATCGAGTAGCCTGGGAACTTCTTTCCTACTAGGCATATGTGTGTGTAAATACCGGTGTATAGGAACCGAATGGCATTCACGATATACATGGGTATGTTCATCATGATTAGCACATCTATGATCCAGTCGTGGCGCAGCGACGGGAACGCGGCGCGGAAATCCAAGAGGAGTAGCCCAGCGTGCGGCATGCCGCGATAGCAGGCGCATTCAGGAATGTCTGCCTCGAGGCAGAGCAAGTTGTCGAGCATAGACCTCTTGCGCACGAAACCCGTCTGGGAGCCTAAGACGCTGTACTGGCATTGTTGGCTAAATGGTTCGCATATGGCCAATGATACTATTTTGTTATCAGTGTTGCTGAGAGCAATAGGGCGCACCACAGACGCTTCCCGAGAGATCTCAGAGGTTCCAGCTTCGTGAGGGCAGATGGCCTTAGGGAGGTATACCGTGAGAGACTCGTTGAAGCCTTTATGCGGGGGCCCATATGTAGGATTGTCCAATATAGCGAGATAAACTTGATACAAGGCATTGTGAGCAGCGTCTCCAGCGAACCGCCAGGCACTGTAGGGAATTCCGTCAGGGCCAGTCGCGCTGTCCTTGCGGCTGACGAGCTTACCTATGAAGCTATGCAGGTCGAGCGTCCACTCGATACCTGGGGCAACCTGCTGAATCTCACTGCTCAACAGTGTCTTCTGGAAGTGGTATCCCCTGTCCTGAGGCTTCGCGGCATGGACCCGCCCCCAGTGGGACGCAAGGTTCTGAGCACTGACTTCGAGATCAGGCGAGGGGTTCCCGGTGGGGTCGGGGACCGAAACCAGAACGATTCGGCGCCTTTTGGGAGACCACTGTCGCAGAAGCTGGTGCAACCTGAGGCCTCGATCGTCGTCGGGGGCTCCGCCACCTTCGACGTGTTCGCGAATTTCTCGCTGAAGCAGAGAATGCTGGAGCTCGGCCATTTCCCGATAAAAAGACACAGAATCTCTAAAACAACATTCATCAGCATGAACATGTAGACTAAGATGAGGAATAGCCTGGATACACCTCCGAACGTCCCAAGACTTGCCATCCCGAACAGCCCGTAGAAACTTAAGGTAAACCGACAACTTCTGCGCATCATTGTTGGGGCCTCGGAAGAACATGCGAGTCATCAGAGCATCCTTGGCAACATACATCGCGTCTTTGACGGACAGGAGGTACTCGAACGGGTCCCTGGGCATTTCAACCGAACTAATGGCAGCATCAACCTCAGAACCAAAATCAGGATGTTTGGCAATCCAGGAGGGGATCGTCGGGGTAGTTCTGCCGCCAGGCGAAAACTGAAGCCAAACAGGAATATGGTCGCTCGGCTGGGCGACATCGTGAGCAAGACCTATGACACCGCTTCTTGGTGTCGCATCAAGAATGTCGGTGGTGGCAGAAGAGATGTAGAACCTATCCAGGCGACCAAGGCTGAGAGCACCGTCCTCCCTCCTCCCAGTCCGATGAGTGGGCTCCTGTTGGGCAACTTCAGCAAAGTGTCCGAAAGCCCGAGAAAACATGTGTAGAATAGCGGTCCTCTCAGGGGTGGGTTCCCTTCCGTCTGTGAACGTCCTCATCTCCCCCTCCTCCAAGAAGTTAAAATCGCCTCCCAAGATGACTGTGGCCTGATCAGCAGGCAGAGCGTGAGCAGCAACCGCGCGGATCACACGATCCTTCTCAACGTCGGAGAGGGTAGGGTCGAGGTGAAAGTTAATCAATTGCAGCGTGCCTTTCTCGCCTGTCAGTGTAACTGCTATGCATCGTCCATCGATAATGTTAACTACGTGGATGTCCTGAAAGAGCTGGAGCAAGGAAGGATCAATAGACATGGTAACGCCTCCCGCAGCCGCAGAAGAGCAAAAAGAGCCAAGGTGCGTGTGTGCTGGCACGTCACGATCCAGCGAGGAAAGATCTTCTTCGGTCCCGTGGGTTTCCTGCAAAAATACTACTTGAAAGCGTTGTATAAGACTTCTGAGAATCTGCTGTTTCCGATGCTGTCTCTGTGGATCGCCGTAAACACTGCCAAAAAATGCACGATTATTCCAAGAAGCAAGACCCATAGCACGAGAAATGACAAATGGATGCCGCTGCTCAGCAAGAGCAGCTTCACCTCCCCCAGGAGAGTGTGGATCAGGAAGGTAGGGATCATGAATAGCTGGAGCATTCTCAGGAGGAAGAGTCAGGCGGTGTCGAGGTGGCCTCCCCCCGTTCTCGCAGCAGGGCTCGCAAACGTTCAGGATCGAATTCATCGTCACTATCGCTCCCAGATACTGGCTCACTCCGCCCCTATTCGCGGCGAAGCGCAGCAGTGACCAGCTCGGGCAGCTTGTCTACTTGCTCGTCGGTGAAGCCGCAGCGCTTCAAGTTGCCGCGGTTGGGCTCGACGTTCGGGTTGTCGGTCTCGAGGACATTCTGCAACACGACGAGCTCGTCAACGAGGTCGCCGTTGACCAAGAAGCAGAGGCCCATGTACTTGTTGCATCGGAGCTGCGAGTCAGGACGCCATGTGCCAGCGTCGGTCATGACCTGCTTGATGTGTTGCCAGACCTGGCCCAGCACCCAACCTTTCTTGCGGATGTCGATGGGTTCGTCGGTGCCGACCCGAAGCCGATGCCGAAAGCCACTGCCATCTCCCCATTCTAGCGTCATGGCACGCAGCTGCAACAGGGCATTCTTGGCGTCGTCGGCGTCTTCGAAGATGATGACGTAAGCGTACTTGCAGCTCTTGGTGATCGCGCTGCACTTGTCGCGGTAGGTGGGCGAGAGAAGTGTCTTCAGGAACTCGAAGTGCTTGTCGAATGCAGAAGCCATCAGCTTGACAGGGAACCCTCGCACCCAGAGCTTCCGCCTGTCAGCAGGCGCGGCGCTAGCTCCACGGGGCGTGGCCACGGTCCCCCATGTGCTGGCGATGCCAGACGCCGTCGAAGGTGGTCGTGAAATCGTAGCGACAGAGGTCTTCAGCTCTTCGAGTGCGGCATTGATGACGCTGATCTTCTG